AACTTATATTTGAGTACCAATACGTCCCACCGAATAAAATGATAAAGTTTGTCGTTTAGGGCTGAAAACCTGTTGAACCACAATTTCTCTACGATTGGGTTGGGCGGAAACCTCGACTCCGTGATACGTTCCTTACAAAAATTTTTGCTCTGTAACCAAATCTACTGGAGCTTTTTTGCCTTTATACATTATTTTATTTCATTTATCTTTTAATTAGGGTTTAAATTTTGTTTTATCATAAGTATATTGTTTTTAGACTTGTTTTGAAGAGTTTTGCTGAGTTTATGTATTTTGGAGATGTTTGTCCTGGTTCTACTCTAATGGAGTCTTGTATCATTTTCCTTTCACAAGTAGTGTTTCCGTAAACTGTGTAAGAATAGGTGGAGACGCTCGTCGCCACCCTAAAATCACCGAATCAGGGTTTTCTTCGTTGTTTCCAGTCGGGACAGCCATCGATTGACATATATCTTCATCCAAAGACCTTGAAACTCTATTGTTTCATTCCCTCGCTACTCTGCAACCATTTCCTCGCTACATCTACTTCGCAAGTACCTTCTAGGAGCCCTAGATCGGTACACTTTCTGTACAAAATAGGGCAATTTAACATATGATATTATGCTTGTTGTCCAATGGATGTTGTAGGATAACACGTCCATCGTGGCTGGACTTTTTGGTTTGTTGACTACATTTTAGAGCTTGTAATGATATATTTATTTACCAAACATACAACAAGATGTAAATGCATTAGAGGATGCACAATCTGTGGTACCCCCAAATTGGAATATAGGTGTGTGCATGCCACTACTTGTGTCAAGCTGTCTATGGGAAGACTTCTTTGTAGATGTTTTAGGTACTACGAAGTGTCCTGAAAGCATGTACGGCTCATTGATTATCTCTATGTGGTCATGGGTAGATTTTCAAAAATGATTGTTCTAATTCTTTGCAGGAAAACAATCATTTGTGAGGAGGTGACCAAACTCTTTATCTAGCCTATATGGGCATGCTTTGGATTACCCAGCTTCATTATATCTTCTGGAAATGTTGGGGTCTTAAGCTGGTTTTGGAAAGCTTTGGGGACCATAATGAATACCGGTCTAAAGAGAATCATTGCTTTCCTTTTACGGAATGCCAGATCAATGTGGTGAACAAAATCATAGTGCATCTCTTGCAAGGGTATAACTAGCATATTAAAACTTGGGATGGTAACATATCATACCTTCAATTCTCCTTCAATGAGTTGTGAAATCGATAATGAAGACAGCTTTGAAGTCTATTGTGGGTAACTACCACAAAGCCTCTTTAATTCATGTTTCTCCATCATCCTTATTGCTAGGGGTGTGGTTAAAGTTGATCAAGAAAGAATGGAAGGGCATAGAGAGGGCGTCTGCAAAATTGGTAACATTAGAACATTTACAAAATTCATATGATTTTGGTAAAGCAGAAATAGAAACTCAACAAAAGTATGAGGAAAGATGTGATCACCATCGCTTTGGGCTTAGTTCTAAGTGTGGGATCTTGTTGGTTACACTTGATTAATTACCATTTCAAAGGAGAAGAAAGAAGCTGAAGCCAATCAAGTATGGGCCTTGTGAAATTCTAAAATTGGACGCAAGGCTTGCTAAGTGGAAGTGCCAACATTCATAGAGATATATTCAATAGTAAATGTGAAAATTTTAAGCCTTTGGAATCTTCCATGCTTTATGACTAGTCCTATTATGGAGCTGGGTGTAAATTTAGAACTATACATCTTCTTGGACCAAAAGATTACCGACACTAGACATGGCAAAAGGAGACATTTCACTTTGTTAGGAAATTTCTGTTCCAAGCAAAGCTAAATGGTAGATGAGAGAAGTCGGGAGATAATTTTCTTTCATTTCGAGACTGAATTTCATAAGATTGAAATCCTTCTAAATTTCGGATACTGATACGGGGAGCAAATCTCATAGGTGTTCAATTAGATTGTATGTGATTATGATTTGGCATTCGATTTCAAAAAAAAAAGTTTGATGCAATTGTGTTTATTGAAGTTTTAATGGTTTGATTTCTTGATGGAGATTATTTGCATGTGTGATTCTTAGATGACATTAGTGAGATTAATTATGATGTCGTTAGGAGTTAATAACCTTGATTGGATTGTCAATCAGACATGATATAAGGGAGTTGAATGCCCTGCAACCAGTGAGTTCATTTGAAAATCAAGATTATAGAAGGATAATGTTATGCTTAAATTTTAATTTTTTTAGATAATATTTTTTTTAATTTTTTATTCAAGATTAGTATAATTTTAGTTGAAACGATCCTTTAGTTTGAAGTTATCTTGTGTATATTATTGTAGATTCATTTTCCTTTTTAATGTGGAATTTTTTTCGTTGTGTATTAAGTATTAACATTGTTCATATTACTTTTTTAAAGGTTTGAGCCATATTGTAAATTTTTTTAAAATTCTCTCTTAAAACTCTCTTTTTAATTTTTCATCATTTGCCTTCAGTTTTCCGCTCTTATAGCTTAGTGCCACATTCTCGTAGTTCTGTAGCTATTTTAGATGGGCTGTAGGCCACATGGAATTGCTGAATAAAGTATTTGTAGCTGCCTCCTTTATGGAGACTCCAGAATTTTAGTTCTTGTAGCACAAGTCCTTGATTTCCCTGTGTAGCTATTAAATCCTTAATTGCCTTGAGTCCAGTACCGCCTAAAATGCCATTGTTGTTGATCACATAACTAATACATGTACAGAAAATAATTAAAAGGCTCCTTTTTAACAATAGATCCAAAGGGAGGAAAATGAGAGTGTTGTCCAAAGTTGAAATTTAAGTTTGAGAATGAAATTTATCTATGGCTAGAAATCAAAATGATAAGGTTGGTTTATGGATTATCTATTGAAACCATTATTTACGCTGAATTCTCTGAGGCTAAGCTATCATAATTCTGAAATGTCCATGTCATTCAATAACTGCACCATGCAAGAGCTCCATCTCCTCGCACCTTTTGAACACAAATTCCTCATTGTTTGTGAGGCTAATTTATGGCATAATGCAGGCAATTCAAGGGAGGTTAATTGAAGTGATATATTGTAATTTGAAACCTTATCTAGTGCTCAATGGCGGTTTAGGTAGAAAGTGAGGTACCTTCATGTGAAGCCCAAGCAAGGAATTTGATATGGTTTCACATTCTTTTTTGAGGTTTATACATGCTTAAGTTGGCCAAATCGTTTAAGTTTTAAAAGATATGACAATATCATACATTTAATCCAATATTGTTTGAACTAAGTTTACTCAGCCTTGATAATGTTGAATTTATTCATATTTGGTTTACATAATGGCTTGGTTGACTCAATTGATTTCTTAACCAAAGATATATTCATCATTGAAGAACTTTACATAATGGCTTGTTTTTATCTTCGTCCATAAGGAGATTTTTGTGCTTGTTAAATCACTGGCCTTCTCAATTATTGACAAATTTTTAATGGATTGACCCAACTTGAAGGTAATCCACAGATTCATATATGATTTACATGTGATAGGTGATTGCTTCGTTGGGCTCATCGACCCTCAACATATTGTCATAAGTTTTTTTTTTCAAAGCATTCTACCATTACAATTGATGTTATTAATATATTAGTGATTATCTGATATGAATGCTAAATGGTCTTCCTGTTTTGATTGCTCCGAAACTTTTTGTCACTCCAGTTTGGATCTCATTTCTATGGCTTTATTAGAATCATTTCAACCATTTGTTGTTACATTTTTTTGGTTTCACTTTTTGGGAAACCCTTACAAGTGGATGCTTCGATACCCTTTTTTTTTATGCCTTCCGTGGCTAGAATTTTAGTGGAACTGTATGTTTCATCCTATTTTGATAAGTAGATGTGGATTGGTTTCTTGTCATCAAGTTATTGGTAGAGGGTGAAAGTATCTCATTACACTGTGCCTACTTTATTTTTAGACATAAATTCTTAGAGTGTTTTAAGGCTCATTCTAAGCTGAGCAACTTGAAATATCAGGTTCAAGATCTTCCACCAAACTCTCAAATTCAATCTCCTACCCAGTCGGTAAAGGATCCTTCTTCATCAATTTAAACTTGTTCTCAAAACTTAATAGCTCATTCTAAGCTGAGCTACTTGAAATATCAGGTTCAAGATCTTCCACCATAATCTCAAACTCAATCTCCTACCCAGTCGGTAAAGGATTCTTCTTCATCAATTTAAACTTGTTCTCAAAACTTAAATTTGGGTTCAAAGTCCCTTTTAGAGATAGTAGTCCATGTCCTTGTCTCTACTAGCCCCTTGGTATTTGTCACTATTATCCATTGATATTATTGTTAGAAAGGATCTTCATGTTCTTAGAACAGCTCAACTCCACCTTATTTGTGAACACAACTACTATAATATATCTCGATTTTTATCTTATTTAGATTGGAGCATTCATGATATATATTCTCTTGTGATAGTGGGATCACTGGCTTAATTGCTAGGTCAAATTTGCCAATTATTAAACAATTAACTTCGAAAGTACTATCATAAAATGCCACCATACTTTCTCATACTCTTTCGTAATTAATCTAAATTTAAATTTACAATGAGTTTTACTGATGCGCAGGAAAAAAAAAAGAGAATTTCACTAAGGCATACGCCATTTATGGTAAAACACTAGAGCACCTTTTTTGCTGTTCGTCTGCCTCCCATTAGCCCTTTAGTTTTCTTATTGCAAAGCTCATATGAACTTTGATTTACAGAGAATAGTCTTTCAGCATATCGAGTATAAATCATTGTTTTTCATATTCATTTAAATTGTTTTCCATTCCGGATCTCTTTGTTTTCAAATATTTCTTTATATTCTAGTAGTTTTTTGGTGGGGCTCCTAATGACCTTTTAACTCCTGATCTATGTAATTAGATGTAATAATTGTGCTCACTTGATCTACGTACTGATAATTTCTTGCAACTTTTCCTATTGCGTTTAGAGCACAATATGCTAAAGTAAACTGATGATGATTCTTTGGTAGGATACGTCATATATTTTATATGTTCTCTTGTGGCTGCATGTCAAAGGTGGAGATGCTGGTCACATGGTTGTGGATTTATCCTCATGGGTATATCAATTTTATTTTGTACATTGGTGAATTTCCTTTAAATGAGATAGAATGATATTTAGAATCTGACACTTTTTTATTTTCTTACAGCTTATCCTCAAATTTTTCTTCTAGCCACATTTCTTCTACTTCTATCGTTCTGGTATTTCCCTCAACTTCATTTACTCTTTTAAATATTAACCAACTTTCGAAGATATGCTGCAATTTTTAATATGATACTTTGGAAGGAATATTTATATTTGGTTTCAACACAATTTTTGGTTATGTATTATATTGTATGGTTATTGAAGGTGCCATCTTTTTTATTGAATTTTGTTTCCTTTTTTTAATTTGAAGAATAAAATCATCGATATGTTCTAGTTTCTCTTAAAAATAGTTTGTCAACTAAAATTTTTACTTGAGAAGAATAACTTCAATGGAAGTAATGGGATTTGGTAGAAGTGCATGAATGTGTGGATGGATTTGTTTGTTTGTGTCATGCAGAAATTGAAACATACAATGGATTTGTGGAAACATGCAATAACTCTTTTTCACTGTAAAATTAATTTGTATTGAGAATACACTTATCAAATACATGTGTAAACTCTCCATATTATGTTTATTAATATTTCGTTTTAGATTAAAGCAACATAACCACAAAGCATGTTGTCCAATGAGTTTTAGAGGTTATCAAATAGTATCAAGGGCATATATATTTATAATTTTCTAGTTCCCGTGTCCTATTTTTTTGAACTAGTATTAAGCTCACGTCCGATGCGGTGTTGAAATAGTAACATATCATACCTTTGTGGCTGAAAAAAATTGATACACATATTTTGTAGTGTCAAAGAAGTGTCGGAGAGTGTCGGATAAGTGTCAAGGTGTGTTGGATACGTGTTTGAAATGGGTACTATATATTTTTAAAAGTATCGTTGTTACATAATTTTTGGTAGTTGAGATTAGTAATGATACCTTTGACGGGGCGTGTCGGATAAGTGTCAAGGTGTGTTGGATACATGTTTGAAATGGGTACTATATATTTTTAGAAGTATCGGTGTTACAGAATTTTTGGTAGTTGAGATTAGTAATGATACCTTTGTTATCAATCATCAACATGAACAATATACATTTTAAGTTGCATTAAAATTAATGCTGATAATAATGAATCGACAAGTTTGAGTTAGCAATAAATTTTTTCTTCAGTTCATCAAAAAATAAATATGAGAATGGTTTTTTATGTGTGTTCTAAAGTACAAATTGAAGTAAAGGATTCAACAAATCACTGGCTAATTATTTTTGAAGATAGAGAGAGGCCATTGAAAAAGTTTTTTTGTTGTAGGGGGAATATTATTAAGAGTTGCAGCAAGTATAATTAGCTGAAGAGGAAAGATTATGCCCGTAGGAACTAATAAGGCTAATTGTTTCATTCATAAATTTGCTCAATTACTTTAGCTAATTGTTTAAAAAATTAGGAAGCTTCTTTTATGATAAATAAGAAGAAAAAAAAGATGAAAATGTAAATGGCTTATGAGCTTTGTATAAAGATTGAACTTGGAAATGAAAGAGGAGAAATCAAAACTACTGAAGGGTGGCATGAGTGTAGACTTGCTGATGGACAACTTCTTGAAGCCTCAAATGATCGCGAGTAAAGTGAAAGATGCAGAGAAGGAAAAACGAACAATGGATGCAAAGGATGCAACAGATGGATTGGAAGAAGAGAAATATTAAGAAGAATCATTAATGCACTAGAAAAATGTATTAGGGAGCTATCTTTGGTGCTTAGGATGCCTCCATGCTTTGATAGAACCATCCATCTTCCCATGACATTGTAAACCGCCCTATATTATGTTGTGTAAGATTAAGGCACATCCTTGTCATTTATATTTTATACAAAGTTCTGTGATTTTTCTTTCATTAAACCTAAGCATGAATCAATACATATCTGCAGTATTTACATGAAATGAAGGACAAAAGCAGGAACAAAAAATGTCTCTTCCAACAGCTTTAATATAGTAATAAGACGTGGCTGCCTGAGCTGGTGGGGCTTTTTCCCTGCTTGAACCGGCTTGGGGTAGCTAAACTAGTTCAATTCGGAAGGAAAGAGGATTGGCCGACCCTAATGAACTAGGGTCGACCCGTTTGGAGTGGATTTTGACCGTCTTAGTTACCTAGTAGTATTTATATATCATTTTTAGGTTTTATTGGCAGTTTTTGTTTCGTGTTTTCTATCAGGATGGCCATCGATGTCCAGTTTTTTCCTTCTAGGACTGTATTCAATGGTGAGTCGTGCTCCAGTGGTCTCTCATTATGAAGTGGTGATTATCTTTGTCTTTCTCATCCTTTGCAACCTACCCTCTGCTACTGTCGTCGCCTTTGCCATACCTTGTTGCAGACCACTAGAAACAACTCTTCAATTGTTTTCTTGCTGCCCTTTTACTCGCCTCCATTCAGTGCTTGCCCTTCCCCTTTGTCGCCATTGTCCAATCCCACCACTTCCCGTTGTCATTATATGTCAACCTCCCTGATGTCCAGCCATATCTCACTAGACTTGTAGCTTGCAACCAATTGCAGCTCCCCATTTCCCCTCCTATAGCCGTCTACAGACCCCTTGCAACCGATTGCAGCTCCCCATTTCCCCTCCTATAGCCGTCTACATCCAAGTAACCAAACTTTTGCCATTCAATCCTCCAAACCAACCACCAACCATTAGAATACACTTTCGTTGAGTTTGTTTGTGTCTTTCATTGTAATTTTCTTTCAAGTGTGTTTGGTTGTAATCACCAATTTGCTTTCACAAATAATATTAGTTTTCTTATTGTTGTTTGGGTTAACTCTAGTATTACTTTGTATCAGAGCTAGCATAACCCTAATCTTATTCTAGGGCTTCTAGCATTCATTCTTAACCAACCCTATCTTCACCCAAAATTTCTTTTACACTCTACGCTACCACTACCCACCTTGCACGCACCCACTTCCAAACCCTATTCATGTTACCACAGAGGCAATTGCTAGAACTTGATTAGGAGTTTACCTTGAAAGAGTTACAACAATAGCTCCCTTGAGTCCTACAATGACTCGATGACATTTTGAGGAATGGACGCATGGAGATGTTATCGTCGAGCATGGTAGCGAGATTCGAAGAGTACAATAGAGTTTATGCAGCTTAAGCAGAAATTTGATCTGTTGAGCCAAAGGAGCCACAATAGCCATGTACCTGGGAGGTCTGGAACTCGCCATCGACAATACGGTTTAGCTACAGCCTTACTGGTTTTTGGGTGACTTTTAAACCTTGACACCAAAGGAGGAGAGAATAAAAGCAGAGCAAGGATCCACTGCCATTCAGACAACCATCCATAATTGGAGACATCGGTAGAAGCAAGCCTCGGGGATTTGAGAAGGCTGATAAGGAGAATGATAGAACCACTCAGAGTGAGAAGTCTGTGAAAAGTGGAATGCCTAATATAGTCCCAACCAGGAAATTCTTCAAATGCTTTGGATATGGGCATATTTGCCTCCATTTGCTCGACGAACCGAGTTGTGTCATTATTGAGTGCAGTGGAGGAAATTCGTGACGAAGAGTCTGTTGAAGAAAAGGGTGAGGAGTATTAACTTCCACTGGAGGAGGGCGAGATACTTGTGGTTAGGCGGGTCCTACAAGCTATGGCAACAAGGGATCTTTACTACTATATATTTTACTCGTTGCACTATGAAGGAAAATATATGCAGTCCCATCATCGATAAAGGGAGCAACAAGAACGTGACATCTACGCAA